TTCAGAGAGAGAAGCAGACTCCCTGCCGAGCAGGGAGCCCGATGCGGGACTCGATCCTGGGACTCCAGGATCATGACCTGAGCTGAAGGCAGTCGCTTAACCAACTGAGCCACCCAGGCACCCTCAAGCCAAGCAGTCTTAATCCAGAATCCAAGCCCTTAATCATGGCTGCCACACTGTTACTTTCTGTGGAGGTTATGAACAAGCAGTGTAAAAGGCAAGGGAAGACACCTTCAATGGCGTGGAGGAGACGAAGATTCATTTCCTATGCATTCATAATGCAATATGTTTCTAACATCTAGAAGAGCCTAAGTTTCTGGAGTCAATACTTGTTTGGACCTACACTGACCTGAATTTATTATTTATATCAACTCTCCCTCCTCAATCTCAGGGAAAAATTTCCTCTCACTTATCAGGAGAAACAAACCATGAAGACAGAATACATGAGCCAACTTCAGTTAGTCCAGTATATGCAGAGCATGCAACAGCAAGCAAGATGCATTAATAATAATACAGAGCATGATTTAAGAAATATAAATGTCTGAGCATAAAGCAACACTTAACTAGCTAAATAATCACTCCTTAACTCTAAGTATCCAAACAACTTTGGTTTGAATAGATATTGATATATAAAAACTTACTTTCATAAGCTCATAATAATTATTTTAGTCTTCTTAACGAAAAAGTAGCACAGTCCATAGCACCTAGGAAGAGATCAAATCTGCTAACTCAGGACTCAGTGCCTCCCTGCAGTGTCATGTTCTTAAAGGTTTGTGATGATGCTTCTTACCTTCCATTATTATTTCTTTTAATTAAAAAACTGTGATACAGCTTGGGAAAAGCAGTCTTTGATCATGTCAACTCCTTCCTCTGTAGAATGGGATTAATGATAATTAATGTCCCACTTGCTTTGATATTCTGAGGTATTCCGAGGATCAAATTCTGTGAAAATGTTTTGTGAACCAGAAAGTCCTATGTAAATGTTACAGTAGAGCTCCTGGTTTGGTTGTACCCCTCTCTTCTAGACAGAAGGCCCAATAAGAAAACTTCTATGTGCTGTGTTATCTCACTCAACACTATCTTATGATAGTGGGTGGTCATATTCCACTTTACATATGAGGTGCATGGAGGTAAAGTAATTTATCTAATGTAAGCTACATACTCAGTGGTAGGGCTAGGATTTGAACCTAGGTCTGCAGCTCAGAAACCCAGGTATTCTTTGCACTAGCTTCACACCTACTTTATGGTGTAAAAAAAGAAAAATGAATGCAGTATTTGTTTTTTTTACAGAACTGTGGAGGTTCTCATCACCACCCTCATCCTCGTTTTCATTTGTTCCAAAGTATCAATATAAAATACGTTAAACTTTCCCAAAGGGCTAAAACTGGCAGGATGAAACACTCAGTACTATACTGTGGAATGGAGCCCAAGAAATAAAACAAATTAGACACAGTCAATTGTTATAAAAGTAAAATAAAACCTCAATTTCCCTGCCTGCCAAAGACTGCATCCCTTACCCCCTATCAGACACAAATAGCCCCAGTGACAACTGGTTGTGATGCAGTAATCCAGAGAGAGAGAGAGCCTGGATTTCTTGATTTCTTTCTCTCTCTCTCTCTTTCTTTTTCTTTCTTTCCTCCCACCCTCCCTCCCGTCCTTCCTTTTAGCTTCGCCTGACATCACTAATAGGATGCAAACTTTATCAATCATGGGTTAGAACCACTCATAACTAGCCACAGGGACAGCAGAGGTGCCACACACTGATTTTTTCTGTGTGTGGTGGAGGCACCAGGCAGGATGGAAAAAATGGGCATGAACAAAGAGGTCAGAGAGACCTGGGTATGAATTTCAACTCCATCACTCACTACGCAGTCACCATGGGCCAGTCCTTAACTTACTCATCCGTTAACACTTCTTCATCTTGAAGCATTTGCCTCTGGAATGAATGAGATGATATAGGTAAGCTGATAAGCAGATGTCTGTGAACACAGTTGGCACTCAAGAGTGAGCAGACTCTCTGATGATAAAGACAACTCATGAACTCACTCATGTCCATTAGTAAGTGCTTTTTCATTTTTTTTTTTTTTAACAAATTCTGTAGGAGACTAAAGAGGACTATAAATTCTTACTATTCTTCCCTTTGAGAGTTGGAGTCCAATACCTCTCCCCTTGAGTAAGGGATGGTCTTAATGACTCCTTTGGCCAATACAGTGTGACTGAAGTATGGCTCTTGGGTTTCCCAGCCTAATTCATAACAAGACTTGTAGGTTTTGCCCTGGCCTCATAGCTGTGAGCTGCCATGTAATAAGTCTGACTACCCTGAAGCCACTATGCTGTGAAGAAGAAGCCCTACTTAGTCACGTGAAAAGGCCTCAGGGAAAAAAGATGTTGGGTGGGCCCCAGGCTAGTCCAGCCTCCAGGACACTCTACCAGGTTTTCCCCCCAAATTAAAAACATAAATTTTCTGAGTTACATAAGGTAACATAGTAAGTTTATATTGACCCTGTAGTTCTCAAGTCTGTTTCAGACACTGAAAAAATAACATATTGTTTGTGGACAGCTTTAATCCAACTGTAACTTAATAATAATTGGCTGAGGAAAGACATATACCAGCTCTTGAGTGCCTATGTGTGCCAGAATTTAAGTTAGCTTGGGTTTTACCAAATATCCAATTCTCTTAAGAAAAAAATGCTATACATAACAAGCCCTCATCTCTATGAAATTGTGAAAAACATTCTCTGAAGTCAGACTAATTGACCCAGTGCCCCAGTGCTTGACCCTCCCAGCTCTACAAATCTGGACTCCCATAGCCAGCTACCTTGTAACCAGGGTTGTTTATTAAGAGCCACCACCACCTACCTCCTAACTAGCTGGAATCTACCTACACTGGGCTGCTTGCATTTCCAGGCAAGCCTGAAAACATTGAAACTGTTAAGACAAAGTTGATTTGTGCAGATATCTAGTTAATGTTTGAGGAGAACCCCTTCAGTTTTCACACATGCTCCACTTGGGAGGATGGGCCTCATTAGCATAAGACTTGATCTCTGACTCATGGAATACTTAACTGAAGCCTTTCAAATCATATACGACCTTATAACATTACGCAAACTTCAGGGCATACAATCAGCATAGGTGAACTCAACATTTTGCTGCTTTCCAAATCTACTAAGCTCTCTTTCATTTCCTGTTTCTTCCTCCTGCAAAACCTGCTTCCCCTTCTGGGGTGGGGTGGGGTGGGGTGTGTGTGTGTGTGTGTGTAATCCTATTTAACTTTCAAATGTCCACTCTCCCATCAAGGCAGAGTTAATTATTCTGTGATGACATTGCTTCTTCAATCTATAAAATCTTTTTTCTAACAAGCAAGTTTACCATTTAAAAAAAGGCAACAGATACAGATGTAGTGAAAAGAAGGGCCACATGCACCCCAATGTTTATAGCAGCAACATCCACAATAGCCAAACTGTGAAAGGAGCTGAGATGCCCTTCAACAGATGAATGGATAAAGAAGATGTGGTCCATATATACAATGGAATATTACTCAGCCATCAAGAAAGGATAAATACCCACCATTTGCATCAACATGGATGGAGGTGAAGGAGATTATGCTAAGTGAAATAAGTCAAGCAGAGAAAGTCAATTATCATACGGTTTCACTTATTTGTGGAACATAAGGAATAGCAAGGAGGACATTAGGAAAAGGAAGGGGAAAATGAAGCGGGGGAAACCAGAGCGGGAGATGAACCATGAGAGACTATGGACTCCGGGAAACAAACTGAGGGTTTCAGAGGGGAGGGGGATGGGGGGATGGGTTAGCCCAGTGATGGGTATTAAGAAGGGCACATATTGCATGGAGCACTGGGTGTTATACACAAACAATGAATCATGGAATACTACATCAAAAACTAATGATGTACTGTATGGTGACTAAAAAAGGCAACAAACCCACAGTTCTAAAGGATGCATGGAGAAAGAACATGAGAGAGTCCATATAAGTTGGCAATATTTCACCAGGCTGAAAACAGGGTGATGTGATCTGTGTTTCAGGGATTAGAATTCAGGGGCAGAATAAGTTAATTAAAACACCTAACCAAAATGCCTTCTATATGTAAAGTGCTGTTGCACTGGGGGTGCAACATAACCTGAACTGATAAATTCTAAGGGGGAACTGGTGATTTGCATCCCAATCTCTTATGTTATTTTCTTGGCAAAAAGTTAAAAAGGAACCATCCAGTCTAGGAAAGATAGATCTTCTGTATACTTCAGCAAGAACCAGACAAGAACCAGACAAACCAGAATGAACTCCAGGTTTCTCCAACTCAATGGCTTTGGTTTAATCTGGAGTGGGCAGTGTCTATTGTCCTAAGTGGATCAACCTGAACATCAAACCCACCAACTGGTATTGGCTTTTACATTCATTCAGTAACAATTGCAATTCCAAAGGCTATACAGTCACTCTGGGGCACCTGGAGATTTGTGGCACAACCCCCAAAACACATGAGCAACATGCATAAAATCATAATCACTTTTCATTCTACCATCAAACCTAAAGAAATCACATTTTTATCACTTGTTATTTAAGGACACACATAACTAAGCAAAACATTCCAAGCCAAAGGCTGTATAGTCACCAAATGGTAATGGGTTCTATGTGACAATATCCACAAAACACAGTCTACCATTCCTTCTCCATGAGGAACCTACAGAAGCTCATACTGGAACCCTTTATTCTGCCACAAAACCAAGAGCAATAATGTTTTTGACACTCATTCTTGAATTAACTATTCTTAACATGCCAATTTAGAATTATTATAAGTCTACATTACAACTGAGGCCCAAACAATAGGATGACTTAATGCTTGATACTTTAAGTACCTAGACGAAGCAGAGGGAAAATTTTCTATTGAGCAAACCCTGGTCTTCCTCCAGAAAATGTTTAAGTTTCTGGCACTGGACAAATAATAACAATGGTATATTCTAAAAGAAATGCGATATCAACTTACTTAACAGTTGGCAATAGAGGGCCTGTAAACTTCTCTTCATGGTATCATCTGGTCCTGCTTGTCCTCCAGTTTATTCATGATTCTGTCTAGGAAATTGGGAAAAGAAAATTGTTACACCTGGCGAACATAAGTCAATTCAACAATCAGAAAGAATTCCACTCAACATGATCCTGGTTGTAAAGCCTAAAATCCCTGACTTTGAAGAGGAAAATCCTTGGAATGGATATACCACAGTCTAATTAGATGTTATATAAATACTAATTGATCAATTGGTTAAAACCTGAAACTATACATATCACTAAAGGAAACTCATGGGCAATCAGACAATGAGTGTCTGACTTAGGAACTTTTGAGGACTTCCAATTAACCTCCCCCTGAATCTCTAGTTTTTAAACAGGAGAAACAAAAAATTTCTAATCTTATTCCTGTTATGGTGTTCAACCAAACAAAACAACCCAAAAAGCTTCACCACACTTGAAGTTGTATTATGTTAAATAACTTTTCCATTATTTTCTCGTTATAAAGCATAATCCAGTATAGAATATTTGGAAAACATAGCTAAACGAAATAGAGATAATATATAAGAAAATACAAAATTACCTCTCTCTGCAGCCTTTCAATGTGCACTTCTATTGGTCTATCTCATTTTATCTATTATATTTTTTGTTTGTTTTTAAGTAGGCTCTATGCTCAATGTGGGGCTTGAACTCACCACCCTGAGATCAAAAGTCATATGCTCTACTGGACTGAGCCAGCTAGGCACCCTCTCTATTGTACATTCTAATTTTTCTTCCTAGCAGAAAAATATTCTTGTGTTTATTTTAAATGGCACACAGTATTTCCTTAAGGTAACTTCTCATTAGACTACAACTTACTCAATGATGGAAATTTATAATTTCTTTACATCCTTGCCAATAAATAGCAAATATTTCACCTCATTGTTCTAATTTGCATTTTATAAGTCTATTAATCATTTGTCTTTTTAAAATTTTTAGTTCACATTTGACAAAGATTCCTTTTTTTTGGTCAAAGATTCTTTAGTAAGGCTCCTGAACCTTTTAGTAAGGCTCCTGAACCTTCTCCTAGGTCCATCCATGAACTTCCTTATAAAGCCTAGTTTTAGCAAGAACTAGATTAGCAAACTGCTAAGTCAGTTTGACCAGAACCCTCTACTCGCAATATCTGATCAGGTTCCTTATCCTCCATCAATCCCCAGGTGATAATTACCCTGGCCTGTCTTTAGCAAGAATCTTATTAGGTTAGTTTAGCCAGAACCCTTTACCCCTGATGTTTCCTCTCAGTAATTTTCTATCCACTGACCACCCCCCCACCATCCTTGGCTATAAATGGCCACCTGCCCAAGTTGTATTTGGAGTTGAGCTCAATCTCCCCCACTGTAAAATCCCATTGCATTGTTCCCTATACCTATCCTGATAGTCCTGAATAGAGCCTGACTCACCATCTTTAACAAATGTCACTGAATATCTTTTTCTTTAACACTTTAATGATTCTCTACTGGCATGCTGGGTTATTTTCTCATAATACCTCAAGTGAAACTAATTTATCTTTCAAATGTTTTTATTGAGATATAATTCATGTATTATAAAATTCAGCCTTTGAAGTATACAATTCAGTGGTCACTAGTATTATTCAAGTTGTGTAACCATCATCAGTACCTAATTCCAGAACATTTTTCATCACTCTAAAAAAAAAACAAAAACAGAAAAAACCCCCCCAAAACAAAAAACCAACCAAACTAAAAAAACAAAACCCCCAAACTGCTATGTTTATTAGCAGTCATTTCCCTTCTCCCCTCCTCCCAGTCCCTGGCAACCACTGATCAACTATAGATTTGCCCATTCTGTACATTTCACATAAATAATATATAATGTATAGTTTTTCTTTTTTTTTTTTTTTAATTTTTTTATTCTTATGTTAATCCCCTTACATTACAACATTAGTTTTAGATGAAGTGTTCCATGATTCATTGTTTGTGCACAACACCCAGTGCTCCATGCAGAATGTGCCCTCCTAAATACCCACCACCAGGCTAACCCATCCTCCCACCCCCCTCCCCTCTAGAACCCTGTTTGTTTTTCAGAGTCCATCGTCTCTCATGGTTCGTCTACCCCTCCGATTTCCCCCGCTTCATTCTTCCCCTCCCGCTACCTTCTTCTTCTTCTTCTTTTTTTTTTTTTTCTTAACATATATTGCATATAATGTATAGTTTTTCTATATGGCTCTTTTACTTAGCATAATGTTTCTTAGGACCATCCATGTTGTAAATCATGCTTTTCCCCCCTTTTTGTAAGAATTAGAAATACAAACAAACACACTCACACACAGCCATGGTTAGAGAGGCCTTCCTTAGTCCAGGATTACATAAATAGTTGCCTGTATTTTCTTTTGGTATTTCTGGATTTCCTTTAGATTTGTTTCTGGACTTTGTATTATATTTTACATCTGTTTGCTCATTCTTCCACTATAACAAAAAGAGTTTGATTAAATTAAACTCTTGGTAAAGTTAATCCCCCCATTATTACTCTTTTTAAGATTTATCTTGTTCTCTGAATGTTTTTCCCTTAAATTAACTTTATCATTTTATTAAATTCCAGAAAAAATATCATTGGTATTAGAGTTGTACTTATCTTCTACTTGCTTTAAAGACTTGATCTCTTCAAAACCAAGTGTGGTGAGGAGAAAGATAATATTTTAAAAGTTGTAGTTCTGAAGATCAGAAGAATTTAGAGAGAGAGAAGCACTTTTTTGGGGTGTATGCACAATAGCTCAATGACTATGTAAAGCCCCACCCACCACCCTAAGTGTGATCTGGATGAGGAAGAGGTTGAGAAAGACAAAAATTTTTCTCCATTATAAAATAACAGGAGATTTCAGTTCTGACAGGCTAGGAAAGAGGGGTTTAGCAGTCCAGAAATCAGAGGCTGAAGAGATGATACACAAGACATGCTGAGAGACAGAAAAAGAGCAATTCCAAAAGACAGAAATAGGTGGGACCTAAGAATAAAAGATAAAATGAGAAATTCCCCAGGGAGGAATGTATAAACTTTAAACTTTAAAATGTATCAAATTTTTCATTGCTTGTTTTATGCTGTTGTTTTTACTTATACACTACATCTATTCTCCCCCACAATGCTTATCTACCACTAGTACCCCCAAAATCTCAGCAAAAGTCTTATACAAAATAGTCTAATAAGTGGTGCTCAGCTGGGCAATGACAGAACAGAGACTACATCTTAAGACAAGGGTGACCAGGAACAGGAAGGGGCCACAGGAGTCATAAGCAATGGTTAGTGGGCATCTATGGAGGACTGAGGACATTGTAAGTGCTCAATTATAAAGCAAGTAAACATATGAATGAATGAATAAATGATTAAGTAATAGGAGAGCAGAGAAATAGTTGTTTATATTGATCAAGGCAAATGTAAGTCCCTTTGTCATCTCTAGAAATGCTTAGAGGTTTCTGAAGAAGTCAGATTTTTGACAATACATGCAACAGAACCATTTTATTCACATATCAAAGAAACAACTGAGCTCATAAATCCAGGACACTTGGTATATCTGGCTTACACAGGATTATCCCAACTACAAGCACCATATGGCTTGTATTTATTCAAAATTAATCTTTATTTAGATCTTTTTTGTGGATTTTATAGTTTTGTACTGCTTTTCCTTTACTTGAGTTCTATAGTCTAGTCAGATTCATTCCTAGGCATTTATATATATATACTTGCCACTGTGATGGAATTTCTGCTTCCATTGTATCTTCGAATTACCTCTATATGAAAATGACTCAGTTTTGTATATTCATTTTGTGACCTAACCAAACTCACTTAGTTCTAATGATGGTTTCTCACGTGAGTCTCTCGGGTCAGTTGTTCTGCTTTGGATAGACACAATGGAGAGGCACAATGAGATTCCATCTAAAGCCATTTTTTAACCAGATAGTAGGAAACATTCATTGTATCTGGTCCCTCAGGGAATAACTTAGGACCTCCAAGGATGACAACGAATTTCTGGGATGAAATTCTAAGAAAGTACAGTTTATAGCCAAGAGGTTGAAGAAAAGAAAAATAAGAGAGGATGATGATGAAAATATTTGCCCAAACATGCAGATACAGCGGCATAGATGGGGCCCTCACTGATAACTAGTTCAGAGTAAACAAAGAGGTGCAAGTAACCTGAACCACTCCTTGAAGAAGGTGAGCCTAACAGAATCCTGCCTCTCCCCTCTTTGGCTTAAATGGAACACTTATATCTAGTCCATTGATTCAGGAAGGGACATTTTTCTCTTTCATAGATCACTTAAAATGTTTCAATTAGAAATGTCCCTGTAGCAGGGAAAAAGTAATAAAGAGGCAAATGAAAAGCTCTTATGTGAACTTGAAATGACAAGTTCATAGAGAAAAGGACTAGCCAGGAAATCCTGGAAAACAACATAAAAACATACTCTAAAGCCTCTACATAATCAAAAACTATTTGCTATTAATACATGAATAGACCAAATTATATATGGAAATTTATACGGTAAAGGCAGCATATTAAATCAATAGGCAAAAAAGATGAACTTTTTGAGATAATAGCAGAGTATACAGGAAAAGACAAAATTGTACTAATTCCAAATATGATACACCAGCATAAATTCCAAAGGACCAGACCTTTAAAGGTAAAAAAAAAAAAAAAAAAAAAAAAAAAGGTATACAAATACTACAATAAAGGGTAAATTCTTCTACTGGGAGTAGAGAAGCTTTGTTAAATCTAAATCAAAGTTTGAAGCAATAAGGAGAATATAAACTTTATTACATAAAAAATTACAAAGTAAAAACTATAATACAAATGAAAATACAAATAATATACAAATAAATGAAAAAAATACAAATGAAAACCTAGAAAAAATGTTCAGCTTATAAAAAGCAAAGAGTTAATATCCCTAAAATTTATTTGTAACCCCCAAATCAATTCTCACAGTGCCTTAGCAATCATTTGCATACATACTCAGAGTGGGGAAAATTTGAATTGCTCAACACACATGTTCCCAGTTGAGGTCAAACAAGGCAGTGCTCTGTCATCACCATCTTCTCCCTCTTCTTGTTTTTAGCTCTCATACTGTGAACAAGTGTCCTTTCCATAGGCTATTTAGTACCATGTTTTTAGCATTTTTTGTACTGTTTTTCTTGTTATCTTTGTTTGAAATGGTCCCCAAGCATTGTGCGAAGCACTGTCTAGTGCTAAGTGCAAAAAGGCATGAGTTATGGTGCTGTTGGCTATAAGTTAAAAACTAATGAATTAATAGTATATATTACATAACGTATCTAGAAACACTGTTTCTATAAACAAAAACACATATAACCTAAGGTTATTTATGGATCAATTGACAAAAATATGACCTGAGGCTCACAGAAACCTAACCCTTTATTTCCCCTGAGAGCAACAGCTTAGTATTCACTAGTTCAGTATTTGTGAAAACTTTACAGAATATAACTACCATGAACCACGAGAATCAACTGAATTTGAGATGGGCTTTAAAATATTTTGTGAGGCAAAGAATGAAGATGACCAACAATTTAGGTGAATAATAGAGCTGGCACAAAACAGAACAATGGCTCTCCAACGCTTTAGGACCCAGGAAGAGCTGATTAAACTGATGGCCAACACACATTATGGTGCCTTTGGAAAATGAGGGGAGAGAAGAACAGGAGAGTTGACAATATCAACTAACCTCACAGGCCTCCATAAAAGTTTGGTAAGGAGCATACATTTCCATTTTATAGGCAAGGACACAGATACCAAAAATTCTGTCTTTGCTCGAGATCACGCCTATCAGCTGTGAGGACCTTGAACTAGTTTCTATACTCCTCTGATCAGTGGATTTCTTGTTTGTAAATGGGTAAGAACAGTACTTAATATGCTTGCTGCAAAGACTAGACAATGCATGCAAAGCACTTGTCCCTGTGCCTGACACACAACGAGGGCTCAAAGCAAATACCTAATAGCAGAAGGCAGGATAATGACACATTAGGCCACAGCTCACCAACCGTCTCTTAATTGTGCTTTCCCTAAACTAGATATGAACCAAAGACTTTGGAATATCAACCAAATAGTCCCTTTTGTTAGATCCAGTGTCTTATCTAAATTGAATTTAGAATTTACTTTTATGGTGTAAGTTAGACTTTAAGTTGTTATTCATAATTTATACCTTTGTCTTCCTTACAAAGGATCTAAGGAGGCTTACTAATAGATGCAAGTTGTATAACAGAATTATTAACATATCAACGCACATTAATAATATCAGAAAGGGAGATCCAAAATTATGTGGAGAAAGGGGGGATTAATTTTACTATAGGGGTGCCTGGGTGGCTCAGTCAGTTAAGTGTCTGCCTTCAGCTCAGGTGATGATCCCAGGGTCCTGGGATCGAGACCTGAGGGCTCCCTGCTCAGTGGGGAGTCTACTTGTCCCTTTCCCTCTGCCTCTCCCCACTGCTGGTGCTCTTTCTCTTTCTCTGAAATAAATAAAATCTTTAAAAAATTTTTTTACCATAAAATGTAATTGGACAATACATTTCTCTCGGAGGTTCCTAAAAATAAAGGCAAAAAAGACAGCATTATTTTTTTTTTCTGGCTGCATAAATAGAGGCACAGTTTGTATTCTGTTCAGAAATACTACCCTTAAAAAAAAAATACTACCCTTTTCTGACACTAACTTCTAAGATAAGATCGTTAGACAATTTTTGATAAGCATTAGCATCCTCAATAGCAGTTTTATAGAATATGAACAGAATATTCTTGGCATGGCTGCTCCTTATCAACCCACAATAAAAGCTAAAGTCATGTGGTAAGTAGTGATTCAGGGAAAGCATTTCATGAGCCAGGCACACCATGCTGTAGGGGAAAAAATCAGATCACTGAGTAGCTTTGCCATGTGCCCTTGATCAAGTTACTTAACTTCTCTGAACATCAGCTCCCTCATCTGTAAATGAGGCTGACTCCTAAATCAGAAGATTGCTGAGAGAATTAAATGAAGTAAAGCACCTCCTGTGTATCTAGTACATTGCATGGTGTCTCTCCCTTTTTCCCAAGCGAATAGTATATAGACATGCTGCTTTTGATCTTGTCAAGATAGAGAAAACTAGGAAAATGAAAGGAACTGATATTCAGCAAGTCACCCCAGGGCCTGAGAATCACGACCACTGGATTACTTCAGGAAAGCAAATATGAAGGTTTCTTGGCTCACTTACATCATATGTCATAAATGGATGCATGTGACCAGAGGGCTAAGTTTGGGTTATAATATGTTTTTAGTCAAATTCTTTTGATACAGATGATTTGCATATTAAACAGGAATATCCTTTACTTCCATAAAGAGATGTTGTCATTTTCCTGAAACTTGTGGCCCTCCTAATCTTTCTTCCAAATTTTCTCGTTTTGAGCAAGAAATATTTCACTTTTCTCTGAACCTATGATCAA